ATACTCCCATTGATATTCTTTTGCTTTTTTTTTATCTTCTTATTTTTTTCTTGAAGATTTGTTGTCATTATTGTTTGTTATTTGTTGGTTTCATAGTCTTGTCTTTTTAAGACCTTCATCTGTTATTGATTTCATAATGTATAGATATTTTCATTGTTATATTTATTGTTTATTATTGTTATTCTAGTAATTATTATTATTATTATTATTGTTATTATTATTTATTATTATTTTTCTTATTGTTGTTATTATTATTATTATTATTATTATTATTATTATTATTACTATTATTATTGTTATTTAGAAGGCAAATGTTCAATGCACCTTAAAATTTTGAATCCAAAGCATTATTTGCTAGCTTCAACTTTTGAGTAATTATTCCCTAAAGTTTAAAGACTTTGGGAACAGGGTCAGCTATGACATATTTGCCCATGACCATTTTTATGCAAAGTCACATTTGCACTAGATTTAATGTTGCCCTAAGGAAACTATATTTTACAGCAATTCAGAATTTTATTGGCATTCGTGAAATTATATGTAGTTCATGATATATATTCAACAGTCAAATTAAAACCATTTCTTTGGTTATGGAAGTAATTTACAGTTAGAACTTTGTCAAAATGTTATGATAATAGCATGAGTGGAACAGTGTTGTTTATTTGCTCAGAGGACTTGGTTGGTCATGTGTGACCTTTAATGAGCAAAGAATTTTTAACAGGGCATATAATCATTAGTAATTTTAATTGATCAAAAAGCTGTAAATGGAGTATAGTTTTTGATTATATTGTATTGATCAAAACATATACCAAGTTTCATCCAGTCTAAAAAGATGGATAACAAAGGCTAACTTGGAAGTTTTAAGTTCTAAAAAAGCAGCTCAAAATCTCTGATCTTTTACATTTACAAATTTTACCTACCCCTTTTTTACCAGATAAGGTCATGGCAAAATGTAAGATTATTCTAATAAAGTAGGTTTTAGATACAAGTTGTTTTCAAGTTCCTTCTTTTGATTTTTATTTTAAGTTTTAGGTTATTTTCCTTCTTGTTTCCTCCCCAATCCTGTTATCAAGAGGGGGAGGGGACATAGGAGATTTGGACTGAGGCCCAATGTTGAGGACTGTCCCTACCTCCCTGAAAATGATTGGTAAAATACCTGTGTTCATATGAGTATATTCTAAATTTTTATTTTGCTTGGTGTGGGGTGCTTGCAGCTGCCCCACATTTGTTACAATACACTATTCAGAGGCCCCTTGGAGCGAGCCACAACCACACAACTTTAATAATAGTGTATGAGGTGAAGTGGGTCAGTCTTGTGGCATTGACCCTGAGCCAGGCCAACACCACCTATTCCCTTCTGACTTTCCTGTTGGCTGCATCCCACAGTTCTATGATGGGTTTGTGTTTGTTACTGATGTTAAGGTTGGTCTACTCACTTTGCCACAAATGTATTTTTGCTTTTATAAAGGAAACAAAGCACCTGAGATCTGTATGGACTATGCTTAAGGTCCAGATCACCAGTTGACCTGGCTAATTTGTGAGCCTGTTCATTGCTATGGATGCCAGAGTGGCCTGGTACCCATATTACTTGTTTTATTAACACTATGTAGCTCATGAATGATATTACCCAACAGTTCATTTTTTGTGGTTTCTGAAGATTTAAGGGCTTTAAGTGAACTTGAATCAGAAAAAAAATCTGTACTATCGTGGTTCATCGACAGTACAAAATCCAAGGCTTTATCAATTGCAAAAAGTTTGACAAGAAAGATTGATATACGATTTGGCAGTCTGAAACTCAATTGACATTCGGTCGACCATACAGCCGCACCCACACACTCATTTGTCTTGGAGCCATCGGTATATATATGAAAAAAGGAAAGATGTTTGATAAGGATCTCTCTATGCTGAAGCAAAGTATTCTCATTAAGCCGACTTGTCTCTGGTTATTTTGGCGGCATAGATCAGTGTCTGCTGTAAGCGTCTGAGTCAGAGAGGAGGTACTCCTTCCTCCACCTCAAAACACTCGATCTGAGTACATTGCATTATTATTATGAGCAAAGACTTTCTATGAGCTCCCCATTTATTTCCAGCAATGCATTTTAATAAATGTAGTGCTCTTTCACATTTATTCTTTAATAGACTTAATGTGGTCTTTCCAGTTTTGTCTATGGTAAAAAAGTAGACCAAGAAGTTTTGCAGTATTTTTAAATGGTATTGGGTGATTGTCTAGGGTTAGCCTGATGTTCGGCTTCCTCCCGTGTGAATAAATAGCCCAGTACTTTTTCTTGTGGAAAACTTAAAATCCCACTGGAGGCCCCAGTTATGAATTATATGCATATGGATGCGATTTGCCGAATGCTACTCCATTCCTCCAAGAGGTTATGGTAAGAACCCCACCAACTTTGCCAAAATTACTTTTCGTAGACATAACCTTCCCTTTAATGATTACATTGATGGATAATCCCTCCCTGTCTGACCATATCAACCTCCTCTGCGTTAATATCAAAATTGTTGGCGTTTAGGACATCCTACCAAACTGCTGTTCCACAGTCTGATGCCCTGTATGTGCCCAACCTGGTCATAACCGATCAAACTGCTCTGCACAGTCATGCACAAGTGCCAACTTTGGCGGCCCCCATAATGTATTTTATAAGGGCTGCCCCACCTACAAGGTAGAGTAAGAGGCGGCAACTCTCAGATTCAGAATTGGTCTCACTCTGCTTGAAGCCAGAGAGGAAGCACGTCGACGAGTTTTTTTTTCTCCTACTCCCTCCCCCTCCCTCCCAAGATATTCCTACACCCTCCCCTATACCAAACGTGCCTACATCTTACTTTCCCACCAAATTCTTTTGCCATTCTAAATCCAGACACCAGTCTCTACTGCAGCCTCAACACCTTCCCTCGCCGTACCCGCAGCAGACAGACTAAACGTTCAACCCCTTCTTCTCCTACACACTCACCTCCACCTATCTGCCTCTACTCCTCGGACACTGCCCCATGTACAGTTATTCATAACATTCTTCGCCATTAGATCATAGTTATTTCAGTCTACCCCCCTTCCAACCTCATTGACTTTGTTACCTTTGAAACCTTAATTTCCCAACTCCTGCCACCCTTTCCTCGTAGTTGGTGATTTTAACTGTCACCACACTCTGGGGTGGCCGATCCCGAGAACGCTTCCTCTCCACAACTGACCTTATTATTCTTAATTCAGATCGCCCTACACACTTTGACATATACAGGCAATCTTTTTAATGCCTTACGAGTTACGGGGAAAGTCAGAATAGTTAATTAACTTCTCTACTTGCTCACCTCTACCATGCACCTGAAGGGAACCCTTGATAAGCATTAAAATCACCTAAGTATAATTTACTCTGTGACAGACTATCCTGATGAGCGAAGAGCTCATCATAAATTACCACATTATCAGGCAGATAATAAACTGAACATATGGCCAGATACAGGCGGTATCTATTACTTGTCTGGTCATTGTGATCTCTTTAGGGAGTGACTTTAGCGAGTATGTACACCCACTGTTATGCTAGAGACGCTTCCCAGTTGACCAATCCATAGAACGCTTCCTCTCCACAACTGACCTTCTAATTCTTAATTCAGATAGACCCACACACTTTGACATGTGCACGCAATCGTTTTCATGCCTTGACCTCTCTCTGTGCTCCCATTCTCTCCATTTAGACTTTCATTAATAAGTTCTAGACTGCCTTCTTGTTCTTTCTCCTACTTCATATGTACAGTTTCCTAATCCTCCATGATGGTGATTTAATAGAGCTGATGGGCGCACTTTTACTTCACTCTCTACTACTCATCTCCCTCCATCATCCTTCTCGTCCACTTCAGATATGCTTCAATGTTTCACAGTTACTGTCCTAAGAGCTGCCTATAGAGCCATTCTCTGAACCTCCCAATCTTACACCTCAGAGTGTTTCCATGGCGGAATTCTGATTATCCCAAAGTGCTTCACTTAAATTGTGTCACCTGAAAAAATTACCACCATAAACGAGCCATCCTTAGTCAGCTATCAACCCTTATAGCAGACTATATCGTCTGCCTGTCATTGCCACACAAAGCGGAACAACAAAACAACCAGCTGGCGAAATTATTTTTCCTTGATTATATCTACATCTATTGCAGCCATCTGGTATCTTCTTCTTGAGGCCTTTGCTGGCTCGCTCGAGGTGCCGGATCCGTAAACCGTCAAGCCGTCATGGTATTCATTACCGTGTGCTCCAGCGCCTCCCATCTTCCTCTTTTCCCTTCTTGTTAAAACATTTCAACCACATTTGGGCGACAGGAAACTTTCCTCCTCACTGGCGTGAAGCTCTCATTCTCCCCTTCTTGAAACCTAATAAATCAGGTACCCTCCCTCAAGATTACCGCTCCATTGCTCTAACATGCTGCTTATGCAAACTATTAGATTGAATGGTTAACTTTCACTTAATATGGTATGTGTTTAAATACATAATCCTGACAGAATTGCTCATTTAGAGACATATTACATCCACATTTGACCTCCTTATTAACCATATTCTTTAACCCAGAAAAAAACATACAATGCCTTAGTGGTACCATATTCTTCAACAACTGTCTTCTCTGAGCATACGTAGAAACATGGATGTCTTTATAGTCTTTCCTCTCCAAACACACTTTCCACATCACCTCTTCTTCAGTGTCCTGTATAAGAGTGTGCTCAGCATCACCTTATTCCATCTTGCTGTTAATGACATTGTTTCAATTCTACTGCCAGGGGCTCGGTCATCACTGTATGTGGATGATTTAAGCCCAATCATCTTCGCCTCTGGCCCATCAATACCTGCTCTCCAGTTCCTGTCTGCAATATCATCAATATCTTCCTGGGCCACTAATCATGGCTTTCACTTTTCTAACTCCAAATCCTTTTCCATCCTTTTCTCTCACACACATGTAGGTCCCCAACCTCTATTCGCCTTATGCACTTCTTTCTCATGTCACGTTCTGATCCATCCCTATATTCCCTATATTCTGTTCCTCTTTTAGTTCCACTCATTCTGTTGTCTTGCCCATGTTTTACTGAAGGCCATACCTCTGCTTTCCCATCTACCCTCCTTTCCCCAACCTCCCAACCTGATACAGATCCTTACGGAATCCTAAACTTGTTCTCCTTTCTCAGACGCAAACATATCCATCACTTGACCTAATTCCCTCATTGCTTATTCCTGTCTTAACCCATTTACTCATCCTCTCCACCTTTAACCATCTTTACCCTTCCCGATACCATCCTACTGCTCTACGACTGTGGATGTGTAGCACCAAATCATTAACTTATTAACCTTTTTATCCTTTTCACTACTATGCCTTCCTTTAGTGCTACATGACCTTTGATGTCAAGCACATCTATTTTGCTTTTTAACCTTTAACCATTATCCAACCCTTTCCTCTGCCAACTTACTAAGACGTGAATGCCATGTTGAAAGGTTAAAAAGCTGTTCTTCAAATAGTTCCACCTCTATAATCTTTAGAGTACTCATTTTAGCCCAACTAATTGGGGTCGAATTTTTGTTATTCCCCCTGGAGCCCTATACTCTGACAATACCCTCCTATTCCAACAATGCCTCAAAAAACTAGTGAGTCCGAGGATCATGCATTATATACCCTGACTGACCTCACTGGCAAACCTTTTCCTGCTCAGAAGATCTACATCTAGCAAAGCGGGGGGGAAATAAGGGCCAATGAGAAATGGAAGGAAGTGGTTTTCTTCTGCCTGTGGCACGGGGATGGTGGTTAACAATGCTTGTTTATGTACGTGAAGGAAGTCCACTGCGAGATATGATTAGCTGATCGTCGGTGTGGCCTGAATGCCCTGTTGACGGCATGCTTTGCCAGTTCCTCGGGGATTGGGAGTAAGTCGTGTGGGCGGGTTTACTTCGCGTTATCTTCATCCTCAATATATAACTACATCAGGATGTAGGGTTCTTATTACGTATAACATAC